ATTTTGATGCACAAAGACATTTTATGATTTTGTAAAATTATTTTGACTCTTTGAGAACCGAGACTTGAATTGATTGTCGGTTTTGATCACAAAAGACTGACTCAACTACGTCTTCAATTCTTGATCTTGTCCTTGAGTCTTTTTGGTCTTGTTCCATGCCATTCTTCACGCCTTGAGTTATTCAACGAAACTCTTCATATCCACGACGGTTTGGCAATTATCAAAACCTGTCAGAAATGAACACGATTTTAGTTTAACTTCAAAAAAGTGTGTTCCAACATATGTCTGCACCTCTGCTATGGGGAAGGCACGTCCTGGATTGGTAGGACAGTCCTTGCAGAAGTGTCCTTCCTTCCCGCATCCCAAGCATAAGCCCTGCGTGAACCAGCAGTCACCAGGGTGATTTCTTCCACAGAGGTTGCATACTGGATGCCTGGAAGGCTTGCTCCGGTTGCTTTTCGCCTGCGACTGAGCCAGCGCGGACTTGGTCCTCTTGATGTTCTGGGTACCCTTAGCACCCCCAAAGGATTTCTTCCCACTCGGCGCCACGCTAGTCGCGGGTCACTGGCTAGTACCTGCTCCTCCAGCATTCATGCTTGCCTTCAGATCGTCCACGTCCTTTTCCGCCTTAGCCATCAGATCATAGGCTTCGGAAAAGTCAGTGGTGATCACAGTAGATACATAAGGTCACACGTCGGGGCGCAACCTCTTCATGAACTCCTCAATCCTGTAAGCTGGTGTGGACACCAGCGTGGGTGCAAACTGAGCCAAGTGCTCAAACTTCTGTCGTAGTTTGGCAAGGGTCATGTCCCCTTTTCGCTGTTCCTAATTCTGTTCACTTCTCCTCCCAGAAACGGGCCGGGATGTACTCTTTCTTGAAGGCCCAATCGAAGTAGGCCCATGTCCAAGGCTTTGGCATCTGCGGTTCGCTATCGGTACGCTTCCACCATTCATATGCTCCCTTACGGAGCAACTCAGCTGCCAATCTTGGATGATCCGCAACTGGCACATTCAGGTCATTGAGCACTCTTGCCACCTGATCTATCCAGTCGAGGGCCACCTGGGGTTCAGCACATTCAGGTCATTGAGCACATTCAGGTCATTGAGCACTCTTCCCAAGGAACTCCTCTGCTCCGTTGTCCATTAGAGTTTTGAAGGTGATGTGTCGTTGAGGCAGCTGAGGCTGCTGAAACATCGGCGCATTCTCCATCTGCTGCAAGAATTGAGCCATGAAAGTCGGCATGACGTTCTCGGGCGGGTTTCCGAAGTTCTGATTATTTCCCGCGTTCAGTGGCACATTGGGTTGCCCGGCATGAAGCTAGACGCCTCCGTCTCGGCATCGTTGTGGTCGTCACCCAGGTGTTGGGTGTTGTCATGAGCGTGCGTGGATGCATTACTCATTCTAAATTACACACATAAATTCCTAATCAGTCATTAGCACATAACAAACAATGATATAAACTTATTACCTTCCCGGGACTGATGAGTCGCAAGAGATGTGGTGCAGCTTTTGGAAACCATCTATTTATGATCCGAATATCGGTTTTAAAACCATATGCTCCGATACCAAAATGTAACACCCCAACCCGCATAACCCGAGTACTCGGATCAACGAACCGGGTTGCTACTAATTTGGTATCCAAACACCATTTAACTTTTAGAACAGTTCAAAACATTTAAATTGAAACAATGTTTAAATATCCATCGGAGTAAATCAAACGGTTGCGGAAGCTTAATTCATAATTTAAAACACAACTTGGGAATCATGCCCGAAATAGTAATAAGTTATTTAAATGAGAAGTAATAATTCAAAATCGTCGAGCACCGCCACGCACATCTGAGCCTCTTCATCGCCCTCCGGGATTGGCTCCAAGCTCATCATTTCCTGGATTACCTACGTGTAGCAAATAGAAAAAAGGCTACACGCTCAGCATTGAAGCTAAGTGAGAAATATCTAACATACAGCTATACCCACAGATGATCCCACTAGCCCATATCCTCATACAATATCATGCACACAACATGCTCAACACAATCATACTTCATACAGGATATAGCATACGCAAACAGTAACGTCATCATTCAAGAGGTACAATTTACAAGATATAATAATAAACTTTTTCCTCTTTGTTTACTTTACTTTCTTTCTGTACCCGGCTTTAAAGCTTTACTGTATACGACTTGCCTGTGGGAGTCATGACCTTCCCCTTCGGAACGAAGGTCAAGCTCAAACCAACTCGGGAGTTCCTCGTTGGGTGGGTGAGATCCCTGTCCCCTTCGGAATGATAGTTCTTAGATCCCCGTGTACACGTTTTTACCCGGACAGCCATTGGACCCAGCAGGTACCACATGACTCTAACTTACGTTATGACATAACTTGCCATTAATTCCATTCAGGTCAGCTCCTAGAGTTCGTTCTAGGTATTTCATTCTTTATTTGTTAATATTTCACAACATACAAGTTCATGCATCATACGACATAATTCATCACATCCGACATACTCAAACCCTGGGCATTGACACCCATGTTTACCGTCATGCAACACACAAAGTCTCGGAATCGATCCTCGACGCGAACGACAAACACAGACTGGTTCAGGCACCTCAAGTACCCTTGGCGGTAGGGACTACCGACCCCACGGTACCAGGGTACCGTCCCCACGGAACGGGGGTACCGACCGTGTCAGCTTGTGTACCCTACCGGTAGGCTGTCACGGTAGCCTCTACCGACTGGCGGTAGGGCCTACCGCCCATCCGGCACCTAGGTGCCGTCTGGTGACGGGTACCGACAGAGAAGAACGAAATCGGGGAGGCTGGCGGTAGCCAGGTACCGTGCCAACGGTACCCCCCTACCGTCTGTTGCGGCGAACACCAGACTTGCACCAGCTCCGTTTTCGCCCATTAGACAGTATCAATTCCAATGAAAATAAGCATAATTAGTTCATAGATCATTAACCCAACATTATCGAACCATCCCTCAATCGTTCTAACCCAAATCATGTTTTTCAAATCATAAACGACATAATCAAAGCATAAATCATGTATAGTCCAAATAGATCAACCGTAATGATTCTACGAACGTAAGATTCAAACCTACGAATATAACCATACGTTAGATGACCACGTACTCACCTCAAATTCGACGATTAAAAACTACGAGATAATACCCACGAACGACGGCGTCGAATTCTCCTTCTTCCTTCTTCCTTCTTCTTCCTTCTTCTTCTTCTTCTTTTTCCTCCCCGCTGTGCGCCGCTGCTGCTTCGATCGAGAGAGACGAGAGAGAGAGAGACGTGAGAGAGTGGGGAGGGGGTTACGTAAATATGGTGTGGCATGAGGGTTCGGGACGTGTAGGGAGTATATTTATACTTTTGGGGTTTTGAGCTCCGTACTAACTGAACGTACCTGGCCCAAACGTACTTTCCGGGCCCACTGGCCCCAAATCCAAATCCGATTTCACCGTTAGATTCGATCCGTCGAACCCTACACAACCGTATAATCTTTAATGTCAAACGAAGAGTATTTATAATTTTCAACGGGTCCATCTCAATAATTAATTAATTATTTCTAATTAATTAATTCTGATAGGCCGGGTTTCGGGGCGTTACAATGGCAGGTTGACATGCATGATTTTCACAAGTATTTCATTTGAAATTTTGGGCTTGGCCCACATCATTGTATTAGTATTATTTAAGTCTTCCGTTATCTCCGACATTTTGTAAAAGGATCTATCCGAATTTAATATGTTGTATTTTGAAGTTTTGCTTTATGAAAACATGCATTTTCAAAACTACATTTGCATCCTAGAATCGTCTCCCGTCTCCGGAAAGGTAAATATGTTATGTGCTCATTTAGTTAAAAGTTTGACTTTACATGCTTGTTAGATGAGTACTATTGATACCAAAAGCGTGTTAAGCATTGACTCCAACAGGACTTTCGTGCTCGGTTAGAGACGAAAGAACAAGAGAAAGATATACGACTCCCAGGAGCGCTACCAGCATGCACATCGTAAAGCAAGGATAAGAAAATTGAAGATCTGGAAATGCCGGAAAGCGGCGTGGGAAAGAGACGATCCTGAGGAAACATTCAGCGTGGACTCTGCTAATAGTATCTGCGGCGGAGGTGTGGATATTCCCCCAGTGGACTTGGCCTGACTAAACTAATGGGTTACCTGCTAACTTATGCCATAGTCGAGGTTGTAATCGATGCAACATTTTGTCCCACTTGTCTGAACCAAATAAGTTTCTGGAATGAAATCCATCGATTGCCTTTTAATCTATTATGCCCTTGTATGCTCCATAAAAGAAATTACGTGCGCTTTTGAGCAACTGACTGATTATACAAAATGAACCCGAATGGGAAATGCTGACAAACTCATGATCGACTCTTTAAGTTACATCCAACTATCTAGGACAAACACTTACGCGAAGACAAGTCAATTCAAAGTAGAAACACTATGAATTCCAAAGGCGGCAACAATGTTGCTATGTTCGTTTCTTACTTACCACTAGATGGTAGGCCTTGTGGTAGTAACCAATCCATCATTCAAATGAACCCTCCCAAGATGAGAATCCTTGTGACATCGTCAACTACCTGTGATCAACTGAAGGGTTGAGCAAGTATTATGCTTAACAGTCTCCCACACGAGCGATGGGCCAACATCGAACAAATAGAAACGATCTCTCGTGGAGGTTGTATGTAACCTTAGTGGGTTATGTAATTAAATGGCACCTTCCGTGGAAGCAAATACAACATCGGGAAACCACCGAGCTTTTCAAGAAAGGTATCGTATGAATGACGCCTTCAAGCACATTAGTTCTTCTTCCACCAATCAACATTTCATGAATTGGTGGCTGAGGAGTCATAGCAACACCATTTATGGTTTTCTTCGTATGCATCTCCCGGGGATTATCTGTTGGCACATTTGGAAGGAACTAAATGTTATCATTCATGAGGACAAGGCGGATTTTTCTACTAGTTCTCTCAAGGATTCAATAGCTATGTTTTTGAGGCAATGGTTATTAGCAAAAATTCCTAAGAATCTCGAATCTGCAGATGCTTGGCTTACAGCAAACCATCTGCTGCCAGTGTTCTCTAGGGTTGGTATGATTCGGGTGGTTAAGTGGTTAGCTCCTCCAAAGGGGTGTCTCAAGCTCAATATTGATGCGTCCTTCTCTTCCAAATTCAAGCGTGGTGCTGCAATTCTTCGTGACGAGGAGGGAAGATTCATTCGCGCAGCCTCCTTCCAAGTCGCATGCTCTTCCCCATATCAGGCAGAGCTTGATGCTTCCATCAAGGGTATTAAATGGGCTCTTACCTTTCATCCTCTACTGGTGTATGAAACGGATGCTTTGGAGATTTTGAGAAGACTCGGAAACTATTCTCATTTCACTCATTCTCCATTTCCCATCGACATCTTGGCCACACTTATTTTTGAGAATGACATTTTGAAGTCGCATACCCTTCGTGAGGTAACCATCCTGTAGATCTTTTAACTAAGGAGGACAGAGATAAAGATTGTCCTTTTATTGATTATTGTAATTTTAATGAGTGTCCTTCGTCTGTAATGGCCTCTCTTAAGAATGAGCGCATTCCTTCTTTTCGTTTTCATTAATAAAATCATTCTTTTCTGCTTAAAAAAATGTAATCATCAATAACCTTTAAAGACATCTCAGATCAGGCAATGCCATAATATGACATTAACCTTTAAAATATCATTTCTTTTAAAATTATAGGAGTATTATTTTTAAATTGGTATGAAAATGTAAATAAAAGTTACATTTTTCAAAAAGTACACTAAACGTTTTATAAAACATGATGTGAGAAAAACATTTTATTTTATCAAATTATAAAATGAAAACACAAATAAACAAAAATTCTCGAGAATCCAAAATATTAACCCGAAACTTAATTTGTGGACAGGAAATATTACGGAGTATTAAACAATATGCTTATAATGGGTCTATTGATAATACATTTATATGAAAATAATATATTTCAAAATGGATCTATTAATAATACATTTATATGAAAATTTGACCACTAATATCTCTATTTTTATATAAATACATATTATAAAAATAATATATTTCAAAATGGATCTATTGATAATACATTTATATGAAAATTTGATATACTCTTTTCGTAATTTGCGGTCAAAGTTTAAAAGTTTGACTACAAAAGTCAAACTGGAAAGTTAATTTTAGGACGTAGAGAGTATTAAAAGAAGGTTCTCTATTGTTGCATTAAGATTACAATAGAATATCTTAACATATTCAGTCTTTGCACCAACTTCAGTCACACCCTTACACTCCGACCCAAATAATACTTGGCCACTAGCGGTTGCTTTGGTTTTCAACCGGTAAAACACGAGAAATATCTTTCACCTTTTCTTTGGAGACTTTCCCCATCTGAATAAGAATAGACATCTTTTCATTGATCTTTTTCACGGACTTGAGGATTTGCTCCAGGTCACTTTGTTGTTCATTTTGATAGTTGCTACTTGCTAAAGCATCGCTTTGGATTGGGGTTAATGGCGGCGAGACTCGGTACTCTTCGGAGAACATCTTTACAAAACCTTGCAAGTTTTGTAAAGATATTTTTTTGAAACTCTTGCGTGATTCCAAAGTGATGCTTTAGAATAATCAAAATGAGCAACAAAATGACCTGATCAATGAAAATATGTCAATTCATATTCAGAGGGAAGAAATCCTTGATGAAAAGGCAGAGATATATCTTGCGCTCGACCGGATGAAAACCAAATCAACCGCTAGTGGCCTAGTGTTATTTGTGTCGGAATGTAGTGGGGTAACTGAGGTTCGTGAAAATGAAACCAACCACAAACAGCTCTTCTAATTAACAAATCAAACTAACCCCACGCCCCCTCCCCGCCTAACTGTGCATAGTCAACGAGAATTTGATTGACAAACAAATAAACGGGAGTTAATGACTGCCTGACACTGTACACATGCAACGGCTATTCAGGAGCCGGTTAAACATTTCTACAATCACCTGCTAGTCTCTTATTCCTCAAAAGAACTACTTTCAGTACTTGAATCATCTTCTTCGCTTGAACTAGATGTTGTCTCAACAGCAGACCTAAAGCAATCGTTTGAAGATCGTCAGCGCAAGAAAGAATTGAATATATTTGTTCTCGTAGCTTCCTTTTTTTTCATTAATGGCAAAAAAAGTTTTTTTGCTCAAACAAATAAATCATGGCCATGCATAAACACTTATGTATACAAAAAAAACTAAAGGTGTAATATTTCGTACACACAACACTAGTAGATATCAATAATATGAACTCATCATGAACTCGTGGCATTCAGCATGCAAGTTGATAATACCTAGACTGAAAATTTTAAATTTATCTCACTATTCTTTCATCAAAAGGTTGCAACAGGAAGGACAGCCTACCATAAAACATGGACACTACTTTTTTTAATCAAAGTTAGTGTCAACTAATTTTAGTCCGTTAAATGGCATCTTTACTGTCACTGTGAGGATTTAGCTATTTTCTTGCTTTCTCTCATCGCCCTAACTTTTTTTTTCTCTACACTTTTCCTTAGCCTTGGGCCTTCACGCAAACATCATCTCTGCTACTCCAATAGGTAGATGTTTCGTCTACGTACATCCCTAAATCTCACATCTCAAAACCCCTATTTATGAGAGAGCTACAAGGATATGCTTTGTTCGATATACACTGTTAATTCACAATAGAAAAATCATGATGACAAGCTCAACGCAGTTAAGATTAAGGTGATAGTGATCATGATGCTATTAACATAAATCTAATACAGTCAATTGTTGTAAGACGTATGCCGTACTACACCATTCAAACAATGAATAGAAGTTGAGCTGCCTGTCTGAATATTTGCAGTTCTCCCAACTTAAAAAAAGAACATTTTCCAGCAATATATGTCCTGAATCTACCAAACCCACGTGGTGCCCACCAAGAATCAAGAGCAAGGTATGTCTTTAATGCATGTCATACAATATAATCATACAACTCTTTCATCACATGTACTATGTACTTGTCATTGATAGTGAGTTTAAGCTCAAACCTTCCCCCTTGATGAATTGTCTGTATTCCTATCAATTGGACATTCCTTGCAAACTCTGGACTAGACATGTAATTGCTAATCCTCTTAACATCCTGCTCATTTTAGAAAAGCACTGCTAAGAAGCACATCTAGTGCTAAAGACTGCTGGAAAAACAATTACGAAATATTGCCGTTAATAATCCGAACTTTGGGCGATCAACCAAGAATAATCTAGACTTCAACCCATTCCAGAAGTAATCCGAACTTAAACACCTTCCTCGATTTATGCATCACAAATTAACATCATTTGTTCTCCGTTAAGACTGTTAAAAAATATAATCCATACTTTGAGTAGTCAACCTACAATAATCCAAATTTCAACTCTTCAGTATAAATTAGAACTAAGTTTTGGTTGACTTAAGTTGCGTTCAATTAGAGTTAAGAATTTGTCTTTTCAACTTTAGTTCAATAATCAATTTTGATGGAGATCGAGTCAATGGATATTCGGCCGGTCCAAGAGAAAAGCCCGTTAGGAAAACTCTAACCCTAAGGTTCTTATTCTACGAAAAATAAAAGGCTGCAGACCATGGAGAAGGGGGCGGCCAAAGTAGATCTACACCCACTCTGTACTATTCATTATCTTCCTCATAGAACTTCAAGCTCCATCAATGGCTATCACGCATATATACTGTACAAATACTCCCTGAGATATAATAAAACACCCCCTTGGCATTGTACCGCCTAAAAAGGCATGTGGTTTTCTCCCGGTTTGGGTTTCTATGTAAATATCGTGTGTTCATATTATTTATATTTATTATCTTATATTATATTATATATTTAATATCTCGATGGATTGAAATCTATCAAGTTTGTACTTAGAAGTACAACTAACTTTACCTTCGTGTTCAGTAAATTTTAATCCAAAATAATGGATTTTTTTATAAATTATAGTTTAAAAAATAATAAACTTGTAAATAAGTGTCATACTACTTGTGAATAATGATTTTTCTATTGTGAATTAACAGTATTGTGAATTAAATAATGTTGATCATGTTAAATCATACTGTTATTTCAACTGTATTGTGAAATAAAGTAGGAATACTGTTATTGAAACAAAAAAATATTGTGAAAAAGGAGTAGGAATAACAGTATTGTGAATTAAATAACAGTATTGTCCTACAACAGTATTTCTAGGAATAAAGTAGGAATAACAGTATTGTGAATTAAATAACAGGATTGTGAATTAAACAATGGATTCTACTTTATTTCAAAGTAGGAATATAATTAAATAATGTTGATCATGTTAATTTGAAAATTATAAATAAAAACTACAGAGTACTTTGAGACAAAGTAGAAACAATAATGTTGTTAGTGATATTTATAAAAATTATAAATAAAACTTATGGAGTGTTTTGAGAAAAAGGTAGAAACAAAGAACAATACTTTTTTGTTTCTATTTTTAAAATTATTTTGGGTCTTATTTTTTCATATAAAGTTTACATAGAATCCATTCTTTGAATTAAAATTTACTGAACAGCACCGAACTAAAGATAATTTAAAGTTTAATTACAAATTGACGAATTGAACTAAAAATAAGTTGAAAATAACAACGCGTAACTGAATCTAATTGAACGTAACATGAGTGGACCAAAACTAAATTCCACTTTTAACGAGAAAGTGTTGTATTAACTGGATCGGGTGCAAAAGTGGATGGATGTATTAAAGTTTGCATTACAACTGGAACAGGTTGAAGTTTGAATTATTGTGTCTGGTTGCTTTTACTTTGGATTGTCAAATGCTATGGTGGACCTAAGGTCCACACAATTTTATTTGGACCTTCATATGAGGGTGGTAAGCATTTGCTTACCACCCTAATAAGTTACATTTGCGTGGACTTTACGTCCACCAAAGAAGTACTTATTCGGATTCTAGTTTTACAAAAATTATTAAATGGATGAAGGTGTAAGAGTTAGGATTATTTTGGAAATTTGGATTATTATTGGCTGATCACCCAAAGGATGGATTATTAAAAGCAATTTGTCCAAAAATATTACAATCATCCATACCATTGTTTCATAATTACTGGGAATCTTCAGTTGACCTTGATTAAAGCCTTCATCAAGCATTCTCTCATCTCGACTAAATAAATCGTCCTAAAAATAATTTGAAAGACAAGCTGGAACATATGCATTAGACAGACAAAAGTAACAAACTGGATCAGATATTCGATAACCTATATGTGCAGTAACCTGAGTTCTTGAAGAACAAACAAAACATATAAAAATCTTATCTATTTTCAACTTTAGTATGTCACAAGTGGGATGAGTGCCAGGAAGTGAGGGGGGAGAAAAGGAGAGAGAGAGAGAGAGAGCAAGACTGCAAGACCACAAAAGAATCCATAGCCGTAGCTGTCCTTGATACAATATGCATTATAACAGCGAGAGAAAGCTTCATAATCATGCTGGAGCTTACATAGCATCTATTACTGGATTAAAATCCTATCACATGACCTTGTGACGAGCTGAGGATTGATTCCACAAAACCGAATAATGCGCAGAGTAAAACAAACTGATGCTCAAACTCCAAAATAAAAAATGTGATATGTTGTACCTGAGACCCGGGGTAGTCTAGGATATCAACTTAAGAAGAGAAAGAAGAAGAGAAGGATGTAGAAATATAGGGGAGGCTGAATTCAGGAGAGAACAAAGGAGAGGGAAAGAAGCATTTATCAAGTGAATAATAAGAGGAATCACACACACTTATCTTCACTCGGGTTAAACTCTAGTATTTAAATAAGGAATCACTCAACTTATTTAATATATCTAGAACCTAAATCTCCCACTTAAGAGAACCACTCTTAAGATATAGAATTAGGATTTAATATATAGAATTTAGAGAGAGACTGAGCAAGAAACTTATATTATCACAATATATTTTTACAAGCTGATCAATACAATGAACCAGGGCTGAAATATATAGGCCATGGAATGGAGAAACAATACAACAAACATGATTACATGATAAATAAAATACAACAAAGGAAACTTCCAACTTCTTTCCTACGAAATAAAACAAATGATGTGCATGTGTTAATATCCCAAATGAGTTGAATTCAAGGCTAATGATCAGGGATTTGGCATGTATTTTAGGTGGTCTTAATGTATGATTTTTGTCCTTAAGGTGGGGGAATAAAGGAAACAACATGGCTTGACTTTTAGTGAGTAATAGGACAAGATATTACTATTCAATCAAAGACTTTTTGGGCAGGCACATGGATGAGGGATTAAGCTTTGTTTTGTATTGTAAAAGTCTTTGATTTTGTTGAATAATAACATGGGAATTTCGTCAATATATAGTGGGAATGATATGTAGCCAAGTGTGTTCTTAAATGACAAAACCTTTACTGTTAAATCAAAGACCACTTCGGTTTCTAAGTTCAGAGACAGGTGATAATCGAGTATCTCTTACTGATAATCGATTAACAAGGTGTGTCTGCTAAACCTTTTCAGAGGTATCCAGTAGTCGATTGACACTTCAGGATTAATCGATTAACAAGGACTGGCTTCCAAACTGGATATCTTTAGAGATGAGTGATAATCGATTTTTCAACTGGGAGATAATCGATTATGGAGCGTTGCAGGAATACGTTAGAAGAATTCAGAGGGAAGCAATAGTCGATTATCTATGTTAGATAATCGATTATCATGTCTAAAAAAAACAAACAAAGGTTTTATTTTGCCTTTTGTTGTTCACCTTCGGCTAAGGCTTAGTAATGAATAACAAAGACTTTGTTTTGGGCAGATAAAATAATTTTGGATGTTGTGGGAGAGGGTTTGTGGGTTATGGTTTGGCTTAGGGGGGGTTTTGGGCAGCAAGGGTTATTGGTTGGGCTTTTTGATGGGAAAAAGGAATGAATTCAACCCAATAAGTATTATAACACTTAAGCATTAATTCCTGATTTTGCTTACCCTTTGGTGATGCATGGTGGGGTACAACATCGAAGATAACAGGTTGGGATAAAAGATAGGTATCTGCAAAGCTCGCACAGCAAGCAGTTTCCAATCTTGCCATCATATATAAGGGGACCTCCTAGCCACGCTCCATCAAATAACCAAATGGCCAACCAGGTTGGGCATGAATGTAATAAATGGAGAGTAGCAAGCAACTCTATATAAGTCTATATTGTTTCCAAACTCAATTGTCTGATCTTAATGCACATTTGATAAAAAACATTTTCCAGAGACGTAGCACAATGGGGATTCAAAGAACTCCAAACTAAGTTTGATAATGTCTTATGGCCCAATCTGCTGTTTGGGCATAGCAGTGAGCAAAAAAATCCCTCAATTTGGGAAAAAGACCAGGTCAAATCACACAGGTAAATAAAAATGTGTTACGTAACCACAACTGAGTTTCGATCATTCACACATATAGAGATTCCATTCTTCTACTGACTATGCCATAACTTAATCCTAAATGTAATTAGAATCTTGAAAATGTTACGGTTACCTTAGAATCATATTTTTTTAAAAAAATGAAGCAGCTACAAATCAAGCATACACATGAAATTGAAGGAGAAGAATGAGATACTGATTTCAGCAAAAGCTGCAATATTGGTATCTGCAACTTACCATTTTCGTAGAGTGTTTTGAATTTGACTTATTTCGTAAAAGTTAGCCATAATGTCATTATAGTTAGTATCGGCCATCGGTGTCTGACAATGTATGAGTAAATTGCCCATGAAAATCCAAGCCAGCAAACAGCATTGGGTGATACTACAATAAATAACTAAATGCAGCTTCATAAAACATGTCACACAGAATAAAAAGAAACTTTAGAAGCATGATTAATAGATACACCCTAAATAAGAAGCCAAACATGCTGGAGCAATACTCCTTCCATTTTTTTAGTTGTCCATTTTGTTTTTGGGTGTCAAACTATGACCAACTGTATACAAAAAAAATATACAATGAATTAAATACAGAATTTCTACCATAATATGTGATATGATTATATTTATAATATATAAAAAAATCATTTTTGTTAGTATATTTTAAGTGGTAGTGTTGGTCAAAAACTACACACGGAAAGAAAAAAGACAGATAATAAGACGAGAGTACTATTCCTATGTTAATCTCATGACAAAAATAACCATTTTTTAAAGAGGGTGTCCAGATTTGCTTTTTCATATCAAAAACATGCTCCATAATTGCTGTAAATTGTAATGCACTATTATATCCAGATCAAACAAGTGAAGTGACTAGGGGTTACACGAAAATGTTGGCAAGTATCTACTCCATATAAAAGTTCCAAGCCCAATGTCAGCAATTTTCATCTATCATCAGAACGGAAAATGAGGTACTCTGATCATTACTCATATCTGGAATGTTAAGATTATTATATGCAGTTATGCACAAGAGGTTTACTTACTGTGCTAGAATTCTGTTGCCTATGAACTTCAGGAAAATCCTCTGATCGAGCAGCTTCATGTTCTACAGCATGGTAAACATCTAGCAATTACAATATGAAAATGAAACTAATCATGTCAGCACCTAATGCAATTCGAAACAAAATAAACTTTCAGAATCAGAACAGAGAAGCAGAAGGAAACGTAATATACGTAAGAAAACACTTTAGTAACAAACACAAGTCAATGATGTCTTTTCAACACTAAAGTAGGATTTTGCTTAATCAAACAAGACCCCTCGTATCATATCAGAATGACATTTGGTTTTTAAATAATGGGTAAAGGTCAAAGAGAATTTCTTTAAATTTATTAAGAGTTGTGATTTGTGCTCAATCAAAGCCAACAGATCCTCAATCTCTTCCAATAATGGCAGTGATATTTATGTAGCATTTATTAAAGAGTGAGATGTTTTCCTTAACAAATAATCGAAAATAGTTTGACATAAATAAAAATAGCATAGCAAAAAGTGTTAAGTGTGTCAAACTAAGGCTAAAAAGGTGGGGAAATTATAGAATGAATAAAACACATACAACCTCTTTTCACCAATAGAGAAGAAAATAGCTACTTCAGTTTTCTGTAGATCAACATGACTAAGACATTGAGTATTTATCATACAAAGAGCTGATATTCATCCCTGAGAACAATAAAAGAATCATTGTAATGCATAGTTTATGAATTAAATAATTACTACATAAGGCTCTTCAATCAAAGAAACATTGGTCTTGATGTCACTCAATGTGTGTTTGAGCAATACATGATTCAATGGCACTATAGCAGTTCCTAAGATCAACTACATGCATTTCGCAAGTCCGCTCAAAGCCTCAAACTACTTGAATGCTAAATGCTTCTCTTAATTCCATTAGGAAAAGAAATTTGATGTCAAGGAGAACCAGGAGTAGATTTTGACAATTATTACAAATTCAATTCAACGTCAAAGCATTTAATCCAAAACAGATGTTAAATACAAATGGTTGAGTTATTACTTAAAGCATTTTTGCAAGGGTGGGGGAAGGAATCGGGAATGTGAGCCAATCATTTCACAAGGAAGCACATTTTCATTAATTACCCTTGACAATGTATGAATATAGTCTAATTTTATAAAAATGAAGAAAATACTGGCTTTTCAATACAGGCCAACAAACTATGAAGACTGTAGAATCATGCCTAAAATATTAAATAAAGTTAAGAGAGAGCCTCTTGCATGAAAAGACAAAGCTTCTTGCGATCACAAACTAGAAAAGAAGCCACAGAGACAGAAAATAAAAAATGAACTCCATTTGTCGAATAAAAAGGTTCCACATTTCTTTTTTGTCTGTCCAAAAAAGATTCCCCTTTCCTTAATCTCTCTCTCCTCTGCACATAAGTCAACCACACTTTTACCTTTATTAATAACGGTGTCCAACCAATTGTGCGACCTTATTTTCGGACTAAGAGAGTATATATACATGTTAACAGCTATACTTACTATTAGGATCATTCTGCACTGAGCATTCAAAAGCACGTGGGGGAAGTGGTTCAAATTCAACACCGAGTGGAGGACCATCTTCACGATACTGCCTCCCTAGCTGTCCCTTTACAGCAAAAATTGCAGCATTCTCAACATGCCCCTTGACTTTTAAGTATCCTGATGGACCAGTTCTAGGTTTCACAGGCATATCTGCTGGACAACTATTTGTTAGGTATCTTGAATTGCCCTCATCAAAAGATTCTGCATTAAGGGGGAAATGTGTGTTCCGCAAAGAAGAGTTACTTCCAAGGGATGTATTGTCCATGCCATTATGATTCCTAGCAAGGTGACCACCAAAATCATGAGTTAGGTCAGGAGTTGAGAACTCTGCACCATTCAACCTTCTGCTTTCTACTTCGCGGGGGTCAGGTGTTCTGTCATCACCTTGCTTGGCGCTACCACAAGAATCCTGTCTAAATCCACTGCCACGATCCTGAATAATACCACTTGAACGCTCTTGTTTTCCATTCAAAGATACTTCACCACTAGACAATCTCTTATCCTTTAGCCGGCGATGACAAAACCATCCAGAGACTTGCTTTTCCGTCAATCCTATTGACTCTGCTAGCTGTGATTTCATGGACTCTGAAGGATATTTATGATCTAGAAAAGTGAAATTTTTTGTTTATAATAATTTGTAAAACGATAAGTCTGGGCTACTAGAATATTTAAAATTAGCATGAAAATTGAGAGCAGTTTACCATCATAAAATTTTTCAAGAGCTTCAACTTGAGCAGGTGTCTTGATCGTTCGCTTCTTGGTTTTACCAGAATGAGTCTTATCATCTCCAGAATTCATATCAGCTGATTCTAAAAGAAAGAAAATTATCTTTAGGGTGGCTAACTGGCTATGATTGTTAAAAAAAGCATTCAAGTAACTGGAGCAAATAATTTATTTGAAGTCAAGAATTTATATCCACATAAAGAAGTTTTACAATTTTATATTTATCCCCAGTTAGTGACAGCGACAAGAGTTATGTTTTAACATTTTGAGCCATAGCTACCATCAATGTTGCACCAGAAATTTAAACAAGTGAGGTATCCATATATTCTATATTTTTCCTATATCAATACTTCCAGAGTTCCAGGTGGACATACTGTAGGTGCAGGATCATTATTTTAAATTTTAAGATATAGATATTGCAGGTCAAGACTCAAGAGAACTTTTTCACCCTTTTTGCTAGACAAAATCTTACTCCCTCCGTCCCCCTGTATTCGTCCACATTTGACTTTTGGAATTGTTCATCTAAGCACTTTGACTTATCAAATTCTCTCAATGTGTAAGCCTAAATATAATCATGTGTGATCTTGTTTGATTTGTCTTAACATATAGATTATTAATATATAATTTTTATAATTTTTTAATATACAAATTACAAGATAAAATGGATTAAAGAAGTGCATTGGATGGTGTGTAAAAATGAAAGTGGACAAATACAGGGGGACGGAGGGAGTAGTTGCTTATCTATAAAAGTTTATTATTATTATTATTCTTAAGAATTACGGAGTACATAAAAAACTGTTAGGAATTGAAGATCCGTTCATTCTTCCATTATGCCTAAAGCCAATTTGTTTTGTAGAGTTTCTTCATAACACCTGACAAGTTACAAGATACACATTGCATTTCTCTCAAAATTTGTCCATAATAAAGAAAACTCAAAATTTACCAAACTGATAAGAAAGAATAAGTAAGGAACATGAACACTTTGTCACTAACCAAGGGTCCAAGAAAATCTCCATAGTAAATCAGGAAGAGTCGAATCTGATTTAAACAGCACAAGTGTTTCTTTTCCAACTTAGCCACAAATACTATCCAGTTTACTTGTCATTAATGATATGCAACTTTATCCAAAAAAAAATATGATATGTAACAACAAAAACAACCCAGTTGAATCCCACTAGAGTAGGGTGTGGGGAGGGTGTGTGTTTACAGACTTTACCCTACTCAAAACTAGGCAGGCTGTTTCCAAGCCATTAATGATACGCATTACTCTGTAATAGTATATTCATCAAGGATGGTAGATCAACCCCTCTGTGTTAGGAGGAAACTGGGGGTCTTATCAAGTTGGTGTTTTAGACTTGGAAATGGGAAGAAAATGGAGGTGTATATGTTGGGAATAGGCTGGACGAAATTGGAGATTGTGATGAGTTCCTTTTGGTGTTTTTGAAATTATAAAGATGAGTGGAAAATCAGGGTGAAGGATGGTTTAAGAAAGGATGAGATAAATAACAAATCAAGAATAAGAGATAAACACACTTTTATCTTAATTTGGAACCAAATTAATACTAAAGGATAAACTCACCTCTAGATTAACTTGGGGTTTAACTCTAGATTTAATAAAGATATTACACACTCAATCAAATATCTCAAACCTAAAACTCACACTTGAGATAACCACTCTTAAGATATAGAATTAGGAATTTGGCTAAAATAGCATCA